ATTCCCTGATCTGGAGCAGCTCTGTGGCCAGGTTGAAGAGTAGCTGAAGATGGCAGGTTTCTAGTGCTGACATCTTTCTTCACAGGTAAAACTGACCAGACATGGGTGTATGGGGAGTCCTCCTTGTCCAGTGAGTTGGCCCCTGGCCTGACTTCAGGGTGTGAAGATGCAGTCCCTGCTGAGCAGGTAAGAGCCAGCTGTGTCTTGTCACCATGGAGCACTGTTCAGTCTCTGGCTTGGGCCAGCTATGCCAACAGTGGGAGATGATGAAACCTGGACTTGACAATCTCTGGCTGGCACTTGAGTTGTTTTAGCCTTTCCCTGGGTTTTACACAAGACCATGGGCATTTTTTGCATGGCTTTACCACCTCTCAGTGCTCAGGGGACTGCAGACTTCTCTCCAGTTAGATTTTCTAAGGGCCTTTTGAAACATGCAAACTTCCTGTGGCTTGTGTTGTCACTTTTATATGTCCTGACATGGGCCCAGGGTGGGGTGTGCAGAGCCTGCAAGATGAATCTCCAAGTTAGGAAATCTCCTACCTGCAAAATAAGTTTGTACATTTTCCAGCAGTTTTAGGGCTCTTCACTCTGTGGCTGCAGCCACCCAAAGGCGTTCCTGTTTCCCATGGGTGCCGGCTGATGCTCGCTACAGTGGCTCCTTTGCCAGGCATAGTTCTTGTGATGGATGTGCCCTGGCAGTGGTCCCCAGGGTGCTGGACTTGGAGTTTTGGATGGGCTGTGCTGTGGCTGTGTTGCAGTGGGGATGATAACTCTCTGCATCACACTTGCACCCTGCTCTTGCCAGTCTGCAGGTGATCAGCTGTCCCAGGAACTGGAGCGTGTGAAGAAAGAGCTGGAGCAAGTGAAGGGCGAGCTTGGTACGTGGAGCTGGCTGCTCTGAGAACTGCAGGACACCTGCAATCCAAGTGACATCCCCTGTGCTTGTACCTGGAGCCCAGGGCCTGCAGCTTCATGGGAGTGGGGCTGACTTCATGTTTAGGGGGTAGAGCAGGTTCTCAGCTGCTGCCCTAGAGAGTCTGGGCGTGAGGTATTTAAGATGGGCTGAGCACACACCTTCTTGCCTCCTGTCTGCAGCTGACAAGACTGCCCAGTGTGAAGCCTATGAGCAGACAATCTCCTCCTTGCAGGCTCAGCTCAAAGCAGCAGGTATGTTCCCTCACCGTCATGAGCCCTCACTTCTGGGCAGGCTGCAGGGATGCTCCAGTGATCCCTTGCTGGTGTAACTGAGGGTTGGAAGGTGGGAGGGATACAGCTCATGGCCTTTCCCAGGGGTCAGGTGCTGAGTGCCAGAAGCATTGATGTGCTTTGATGTTGCTGTTGTTTCCCAGGAATCTGTTTGAAAGATGCAGCAGTGTTTAACAGTCATGATCTGGGGAGAGACTGACAGCTGGGACATGGGGATGGACAACAGCCATTGTCCAGCTGTGTGAGCCTCTGGGCCAGTGATATATGTGGAGCTCTTGAATGAAATAATTTTATAACTCCTTGTATGTAAGCAAAATAAAGGTGTCTTTTCAAGTGGTGCTTGCTGTCTGCTTGGGTAGAGGCAGTGCCCAGCGCTGCCCACTAATCCCCAAAGTACCAGGTGAACAGGGCAGGTCTGTGCTTGGCTGCTGCTCGTTTTCTCAGCCAGAGATTTGAGGTCTGTCACAAGGTTGAGCTAGGTGCTGGTTAATGGACGTACAGTGTAGCTTTGGGGAAGCATTTCTGGACAAAACTTATACTTTCAGGTGGGATGCTTGGATGTGTGGTGGTGGTGGGCAGCTGTATGGGCAGGAGAGTTCTGCTGTCTGGTGCTGGCAGTGCCCTGAGGCTGGGCTGGGAAGGCTGGCCTGTTCCTGCTCCTCTGTTATTTCTGACTGCTGTTCCTGGCTGCCTTGGAATGTGCATTCATAGGCAGCCCACATCCCTTCCAGGGGCGGCTGCCCTGGGCTGCAGGTCCTGCACAGGGAGGCTGTGTCAGCTGTCTCCCACCCCTGCTTGGCACTTGGTTACTGGGGCAGCTCCAGTGCTGGCACAATCTGCAGCAGAGAGCCCTAACATGCTGTATGTTTATCTGTACATGCATGGTGAAAATAACTTCTTGGTGCAGGTACTAAGGGAGTTAGTGAAAAAATGCGCTGCTAGATTTATTATTTGTAAACAGAGAGGCACTCATGGGTGAAGCTGGACTTGATGGTCCTTATGGGTCCCTTCCAATCTGAAATACTCTAATGCTTCAGCTGTGGAAGCTGGTGGGGGCATCCAGGGACTGATGCGGATCTGTTTCTGCAGGGCTTCTGGCCCCCTTTATGGGCTGGAGCCATCTCCTACCCGCCTTTGATGCTGGCTACATGTGCCTTGCTAGTGCTTGTCTTCCTGCTGCTCCTGTTGAGACGTGCTTGGCTTGTTCCATGCCTCTGCCTGTTCCCAGCCCTTGGCCTGTGCTGGATCAGGGCCCTGAATGATGGGAGTGGAGAGCAGTATGACTGGGAGGTGAGGATGGGACACTGGGAAGACAAATGTGGAGCTGCATGTGAGGTCTGGGAGCTGGAGACATGTTCTGGTGTCCTGATGCTGATCCCTTCTGGAAACTGCCTCCCAATGCCTGATGTTGCAAGAAGGTTTCTGGCAATAGGCAAATCATGTAATCTGCCCCCTCACTGTTCTAGGGACCCAGTATCTGCTTGTGTGGACAGGGTGACCCTGCTTGGAGTCCTGCTGTGCCCGTGGTGCTGCCTACCCTGTCTGAGAACATTTTCGGCGATGTAGCTGCCCAGCTGGGTCCTTGCCTGATGGCAGCCCCGGAAGGAGTGGGCAGTGTCTGAGTAGTAACAGCCATGCTGCCGTCTGCCTCTTGAACTTCGTCATGGGTAAGGGAGGGCTCGGGCGTTGCTGACCTGTAATTCCTCGATTCAGGGAAGCGGGGGCGAGCTTGCGTCACTGCCAGTTAAAAGCATGAGCTGGTGTTTCCATCACCTCATCTCTCCGGAGATTTCCATTTTTTCGTTTGGCCCCCCACCGGGGGTCCTTGCCTAGCGCTCCTGTCCGCTCCGCTCGGCAAGCGACTGAAAAGTCTGTGCCTCGATAGCGGCGCCGGAGCAGGGTATTGCCAGTGATGCCGGCATGGGGCTGGCTTACCTCTCTGTGAGCTGCCACTTTGAATGGGCGCTCACGACACGCAAGCACTGGATTGCGTCAGGCGCGGTCTGCTGAGGGGAGGGTCCCAGTTTGAGTAAAGGGTGATGCTGGCCCCTGCCTCTCCTGGCTGCCGAACGGTTTTCCCAAGACTCGCGTTTCCCATCACCTACCCTGTTCTCATGGCACATCTGGACTCGGGAGACCCTCGGCCGTCCCCTCCGTAGCCTTTCCCGAGCCATGCCTCACCTTGGCGCTTCTTGTTACTGGAATATATATATTTTCTAAAACTTGGCGGGAACTCGGGCGCGGGTGGGGCTTGGAGGCGGGGTCCCCGCTCACGACTGCCTGGTTTTGGGGGCAGGCTTTCTGAACGCTCCTTCCTGCCCATTTATTTGTACTAGTCCATCGCGGGCGAACCTCGTCCCCCTCTGTGCTCTCGGCCGAATTGAGTTCGCCTTAAGGAGATCGCACCGGGGCGGGGCGAGCCGAGCCGAGCCGAGCCGCTGGTGAGTGGTGGCTGCCGCCGGACCGGGAGGGGCTTGGCGGAACCGGTGCCGCTGTTGCATCAGCTGCCACAGACTCGCACGTGGTCGGCTCGGATTCTGCCATATCCGGCGCATCGGCGGGCTCCGCGGCGGGACGGAGATGCTGCCGCCCAAGACGTTGGTTCTCCTCTACCTACGGGATGCGGATCTCGAATCGGGTACAGGAAATACTCCGAACAATTGAGCAGCGCTGGGGAAGGAAGCTAGAGTTGTCCAGGTAGTGGTTGAGAAGGGTGCTAATGCTGGGGCACTTGTTGCACTTGCGGTAAAGGCTGAATGACACGTTGCCAGCTCGGGAGGAGGTTTATGAAGAAGCAGGATGGTTTGATGGTCATGGGGAAACAGCCGAGGTGGTGGCTGCCACTGTGGTCCTGATAATCCTCTGTGGAAAAGGGTCACAAAGTTATCCTTGTGTACTTAGGCTGATACATGTAGTGTGACATGCAGTCCTGGGCACCTGGATGGAGTATGCTCGCTTTCCCAATGAAGGGAAAAGCCAGCAGGGAGAAGACACTGGTGAGCGGGTGGTTGAGTGCTGGGCAAAGTTGCCAGCTGTGGTCATGGGTATTGGGAATTTACCTTTCAGCTCCTCTGTGCTGGATGCCTGCTTCACAGGTTGCTCATCTTCAGAGCTTTTTGAAGATAGATGGCTGCTGTGAGCAAGAGGAATGGGAATGTCAAGCGTTCGGGGTGATTACATCCTGCAGAGCTTGCAGACTGCTCAGCAAGCACTGTTAGCAGACACCAGTGACCTGTGCTGGTCAGACAGACCTGTGTGTCTGTCTGGCTATGCATCCCTGCAGAGAATGTGGTACAGATGCTGGAAGCAAAAAAGGAATGGCTGCATCCCAGTGAGTCAGCCCAGCCTGCCAAATCCTGTGCTGGAGGAATTGTCTCCACATCATTGCTGCTGTGCACACCCATGTGCCAGGCTGGAGGAATGTGCCAGCAGTCAAGTCTGGGCTGAAAGATCTCCAGACTGCCAAGCCTGGGAAACAGTGGGCAGGCTCTGGGCTTGAGCAATGAGCATTTCCCACCATGGACTGACTGGGTTCATCCCTGGCTCACTGTTCTGGTGCAAGGGCTGTGCAGGCAGGTAATGTGCAGCCCCACATTGCCTTGAAGGGCACCACGGTCTCTGGCCAACCAGTATGGCAGAGGTGTAGTGCCAATAGGTGAGCGTGGAGCAGGTTCCTGTGGGCATCACTACCTACCCTGCTTCTTGCAGTCCCAGTCCTGCTGCCTGAAGGACATTGAGCTTCACATTTCCCTTCTCTTGCAGGACTTCTGACCAGCTGAGCTTCACTGAGGAGAAGACAAGATGTTGGGTGGAAAAATGACCAGTTTTGGAAAGAAGCTGGTCCGCCGGCGCATGGTGGACCTGAGCTCTGAGGATACACATTTTGCTCGGTGCCTCTCCACACTGGACCTTGTATTCCTGGGTGTGGGTAGCACCCTAGGGGCTGGTGTGTATGTGCTAGCTGGAGAGGTAGCCAAGGAGATGGCTGGTCCCTCCATCATTGTCTGCTTCTTGCTGGCTGCTTTCTCATCTGTACTGGCTGGACTCTGCTATGCAGAGTTTGGAGCCCGTGTTCCCAAGGCTGGCTCTGCATACCTCTACAGCTACGTTACCGTTGGCGAGATCTGGGCTTTTATAGCCGGGTGGAACCTCATTCTCTCCTATGTCATAGGTACAAGGCCAGGTGGCATGCGTGGGGCTCCTTCCAGCACCGTGCTGGCAGCATAAGGGACTTCTGGGGGCAGTGTGTGGTACTGTGGGGGCAGGGTGTGAGGTGGGATCAGCAGGGAGGTGGGTGCTCAGGTGCAGGTGGCTGGTGCCAGTCTGCCCTGGGCTCAGACTAATGTACAGATTTGCCATCAACCAGGTACGGCCAGTGTGGCACGAGCCTGGAGTGCAGCATTTGACAGCATCATTGGCAACCACATCTCCACCTTCTTTGCCAGCAAGATCCCAATGCACCTGCCAGGAGTGCTGGCCGAGCATCCAGACTTCTTTGCTTTAATCCTGATTTTGCTGCTTACTGGTGGGTATGCAGGAAAGAGGCTCCATGGTACCAGGGGTGATGGTATGGGAGCCTGATAGGTCCCCACTCACGTCCTCTGTCCCCACAGTACTGCTGGCTTTTGGTGTCAGTGAATCTGCCCTCGTAAACAAAATCTTCACGGCAGTGAACCTGCTCGTGCTGGGCTTTGTCATCATTGCTGGCTTCATCAAGGGAGACATCAAGAACTGGCAGCTTTCAGAGAAGGACTATGTCAACCTTTCGCAGTCAGCCTCACCAGATGACATGTAAGTGTGCCAGGCCAGGATCTGGCAAAGGGCAGGCATGGGGCCTCCTGTCCCTACACCTCATGGCAGCTGCTCTATGGCATTTTTTCTAGGAAAAAAGCTTTTGGTTCTGGTGGGTTTTTCCCCTTTGGACCGGAAGGGACCCTGACCGGTGCTGCCACCTGTTTCTATGCCTTCGTCGGCTTTGACTGCATTGCCACCACAGGTACTGCCTTGGGTGAGGGTGGCTTGGGCATTTCCCCTGCACAGCCAGCAGCTGGCTGGGAGCTGATGGGGGAGGATGCTACATGGTGTGGGAAAACAGCTGGTCTCACCACTCCTGGGAGGTTTCCCTGTGGAGTCTGTGTCTTCAGCTGGGCTAGACAAAAGGGCTCAGAGCCTGCCCTGCCCCAGGAAAAGTGGCTCATTACACCACATGGTTGGAGCAGGGCTGCACCTTGCCTGTGCAGGCAGCTCCCAGAGCAGCGGGGAGCCTTTTCACTGCTGAGCCGAGCCTGCGACAGTGCTAGGAATTGTTGGTGCGTCCTAGTTATTTCCCAGCCTCAAGCAGCCTATTTCCAAGTGACTGGGTTCATGCAAAACTGCTGCTTCCTGGAGCACAGGCAGCTCTCTGAATTTCCTCTCATTACCCCAGAAATCTACTTAGTGGGTGGCTGGTACAGGCTGTTCTGCCTGACCTCCCTGCCTCCAGGGGCTGCCCAGCAGCCTCCTCCTTTCCTGCTGCCGAGCCCCTTGCTGGGAGCGTGGTGCAGCACACCTTGGCAAAGCCGAGGCATACTTTCAAGGAGGACATCTATTCATCAGGCTCTGTAGGGAGAGGGAGCTACTGGTGGGGGGGAAGGGCTGGCATGGCCAGGGGGGCTGCAAGCCCAGGCTGCCAGGCTGCTGCATCCCTTATGCCAGTGCAGCAGCATGGCCAGGGACTCCTCCTCTCCAACAGCCCCTGTCTGCTGCTCCCCAGTCCTGTGCTGCCATGGAAAGTCCCTACTCTGGCTCATCCGCTGGGGGTACTTGCCTCATGCTGTGCATTAGAATGGGGCACATGTGGGCTCTTGTGTCTGGACAGGGGAGGAAGCTAAGAACCCACAGCGCTCGATTCCCATTGGCATCATTGTGTCCCTCCTCATCTGCTTTGTGGTTTATTGCGGGGTCTCTGCGTCCCTGACTCTCATGGTGCCCTACTTCCTCCTGAATAAGAACAGCCCTCTGCCTGAGGCTTTCAAGGCTATTGACTGGGAGCCTGCTCGCTACGCTGTTGCTGTTGGGTCACTGTGTGCCCTCTCCACCAGGTAGGACTAGTTCTGCTTGGCACAGCACAGGGACTGGCAGGATTCATCCTGGCTGGGCTCCTGGCACAGAGCTGGTCCCTTCCCTTTCTGGGTGGTAGATGTGGGCAGCTTGCCTAATCTCTCTCCATGACAGCTTGCTGGGCTCCATGTTTCCCATGCCCCGAGTGATCTATGCCATGGCAGAGGATGGGCTGCTCTTCAAGTTCCTCTCCCAGATCCACCATAGCAGAAAGACCCCTCTGACTGCCACCTTTGTCTCAGGGTTCTTTGCAGGTAAGGCTCCTGGCTACCTCCGCATACTCAGCCCTGTGGTGGTCTGGAGCTGTGTTCATGCTGCATGTCCTCATTGCAGGCGTGTTTGCCCTCCTGCTTGACCTGAAGGACTTGGTGGACCTCATGTCGATTGGCACACTGCTGGCCTACTCCCTGGTGGCATTGTGTGTGCTCATCCTCCGGTGCGTGACTCCTCGTGTTTGGCAGTGCCCAGGGTCAATGTTCCTTACATCGTCCTGGGGGCTTGTAGCCACACGTTTTTCCAGGGGCATGCAGCCTGGGGAAGTGTCAAGCCCCCAAGATGAAGGCTGCTGACCAGAGCCTGTGTGGGTCTCTGGGCATAGCCTTGGAGTGGCTGTCGTGGGGCCACTGCTGGAGCAGCAGGGATATGAAAGTGCTGCCCTCTGTTCCCTTGGGCTGGGAAGTTCCTTGGGCTCTGCTGCAAGCTTGTCTTACCTGCTCAGGTACCAGCCCAGGCAGCCGAACTCCCCGAGGACCATGGAAATGCTGGAGCTGAATGGGAATGAGGAGGATAGAGTGATCATGGACCCAACCATCATTGCTGCCAGTGCCCAGCACAAAGAGACATTGTCGCTGGCGATGCTCTTCAACCCGCCTGGGGACACCCCCACTGTGCTCTCGGGGCGCATTGTTTATGCCTGTGTCGCAGTCATTGGTGAGCGAGTGGGAACTGGTGGCTGGTGTCCCTTCCTGCCAGGGGCTGGAGTGTTTTGGTGTGTCTCTGCAGAGCTGGGAAGGGATGGATAGCATGCCAGGCAGAGGAGAGGGGGCAGGTTGCCAGCAGGTGCTAAACCATAAGCAGGGTGCCAAGTGTAAGGTACAGCTGTGGTTTGGGGTGCACAGGCATTGTTGGAGGACATGGGTGCTAAGCTGGGGGTGTGCAGGTGGTCATGGGAGATCCCTGTGATGAGCCTCACTCATGCTGGCCACTAGCAAGGGCAGTCTCCAGCCCTTTCAGAGTGCTTGGGCTTGGCCAGCAAGGTTTGATCTGTCCTGTTGCACAGCAAGAATGGGGTGGCTCAGCCAGGTCTGGGTAAGCACCAGAGCTGGGTCCAAGCCCAGCCAAGCACAGGCTCCCTGCAGCTTGCTGGTCTGGGAAATGTCTCCAGCAAAGGACTTTCCTAAGGCTTTGGGGTGGATGTTAGAGACAGTGAGTGCTGGACCTGAGCAGGAGGAGTGGGTGCCTCAGCCCAGCTGTTTGGTGAGGCTCAGGGCCCCAGGGAGGCCATGTGCCCTGCCCTGACTACCCTCTTTCTTGCAGCTGCACTGATCACAGTCATCTGCGTGGTCATGACCCTCAATATGGCTGCGCTGAAGGAAGCCAGTGTGGGCTCTGTTGTGGCTGTGGTGCTGCTCCTCGTGGCTCTGCTCATTCTCACCGTCATCATTTGGAGGCAGCCGCAGAGCAATGCACGGTTAAACTTCAAAGTGAGTGCAGCCCCCTGCATCTTGGTGTCTCCCTGGATTCCATCAGGATCTGGGCGTTGCAGGGTCTGCCAGGGCTTGCTGCCCGGCAGTCAGCAGGAAAGCCCAGCGCCCTGAAACGCATCTCTCTGAGGTGCAATCCCCAGTGTGGAAGTGGCTGGGTGCTCTGGGCTGTGGCAGGGAGGGGATCTTTCCATTGGCCAGTAGCATCCTCAAGCCCAGCCTGGTCCCTCAAGGCACAGCTGACACAGCATTTCTTGTCCCCTGCAGGTACCTTTCCTCCCACTCTTGCCAATCTTCAGCACCTTCGTTAACATCCTGCTGATGGTCCAGCTGAGTGTGGGCACCTGGGCGCGCTTTGCCGTCTGCATGGTTGTGGGTAGGTGTCCTGCAATGGGGAGTGCAGTGTCCACAGGTCTCTCCTGGGGATCTGTTAATGCTGACAGCCCACCATTGCACATTTCATATGGAAACTGTCCTGCAGGTTTTATTATTTACTTCACCTATGGGATTCGGAACAGCGTGGAAGGGAAAAATGCAGAAAAAGCCTGTGCCACAGTAGAAAAACCTCTGTACCATCCTGGACAGGACCTCAGCCCTGGGGCTGCTGCGGTCTGAGGGCCTGGGGACTAGTGCTCCATGGACCTCTTTGCCACTTTGGGACAAGACCATGATCCAGAGAGTACATCCGTCCCCTCTCCTGCAGAGAATGAGTCCCAGAGTGAAGTTCTGAGGCTGTGAGCCAAAGCTGATCTAGGATGAATGTTCCAACCAAATGTTGTATGTTTCCACCCATTAACGAAGTATTGTTATATGTGTTTATTTATTGGCAAAACATGTTCATCTTTCTATATCTAGAAACAGGATATGGCCACATCTGGCCTCATTAGGGGGTGTAGGTTCAAAGACAGCTCCCTTGGATTCTCCTTGAGCCCTGGCCAGACTTTAGGAGAAAGCTGGCAGGAAAATGAAATTAGAGATTATGTCAACTTTTTTGTTTAGCCATGTAAAAGCTGAACCACTGTCACAGCAAAGTGGGGGAGCCTCGTGGCCTAAAAAGCCGGAGGCACTGGAGGAATTCCCAGTTACTGTTGTGGTTCTCCAGTCTTTGGCTGTGACAGCTTCCCCCCACAGCTGATATCTCTTGGACTTGGATGATGTATTTTCATTGGGGTAACTGGTGGTGTATATTTCTTAATCACTGCGGGCGTTCTTTCATAGCAATGATTGGCCTTGCTTAGCTTATCCCTTTGTAATTCTTTGTTCATGGTTAGGTGCATTGCTTAGCTTATCCTTTTGTGATTCTTTGCTGTTTTCTATCATCACAAATGCCAGTGTTCCTTAAGTTGGTGTCTGTGTCTCTGACCCTACCTACCAAAACAAAACCAGCATAGTCAGCAGGGTCAGAACAAACTGTTGCTTTTAAAATCTAAATGAAAGGAATCAGTCCTGTCTGAAATTCCCAGATGGGAAGACCTTCTGTATAGTCCATTGACCCTCAAGTGGGCCAAGGTTGGAGGACCATGTGAGAAAGCACATACTTTGGGAAGGCAAGGATGGATTTTGTTAACAGTGTATCAAACAAAACAGCAACAAAAGGAACAGTTGTTGAAATGGAGTGACAGATGTGAGTTGCAGAATCAAATTGTAATGCTAAAGGGCCAAAATAAGCTGCTTGCTCTTAAGTTGGATTTCCTAGACTTGCTGAGAAGGCTGCAGTTAGAGTAGCTTGGTATAAGGAAAGGAGGGGGCAAGTGAATCATAAGAAAATACATGCAGTAATTGCAGATGCAGGTGTGCAGTGGGATCCTGATAAATGGAATGGAGATATTTGGGATTCTGTAGATTCTGATGAGGTTGGTTCCCCAGGTGAATCTGTAGATGTGAGACCAGCATGGAGACGAAAGGTGGAATTAGATGCTAATGGTCAGCAGGTCAGGATGGATACTCACAGAGGATTATACTCAACATGAAGTAAACGAAATATCTGAACAATTTAAGCAAAGATCAGGGGAAACTCTTTTCTTTTGGATGGTGTGCTTGCATGACCAGGGAACCTCTTATGATTTTGTATTTATAGATAATGTTACTGAAGATACAAGCAGTCACTCCAATATTTGTGCCTGTAACTTTGTTGCAATTATAGGATTTTAGTTATTTATTTTTTGTTTATATTTTTTAAAAGAAGTTTTTTAGTTTTTTACCTCCTGTTATATCCTGTCAATTTTTGGAATCTAGCTATACCCTGATTCAAGACTTGCAGCTTACTCCCACTGGTATGAATTGGTAGAGGAACTATTACAACACACAGACCTGAGGCTTGCTGAAACAAGCCCAAGAGAATGGACAAAAGTCTTTGATTGCTGTCCATCATGACATGAGCAAAATTCATCATGTGATGGAGTGGGTGAAGAAAGATGGAGAATATGGATGGTGGGAGACTTTTTGGATGGGTTCTACACCTGCCAGAATTCTCACCTGAGTGCTTTACCCTGGTGTCGTTTTATTGATGCTAATCTTTATGCTATTTGTTCTGATAATTGCATTATATGTTAAGGTTTGGATAATTATGAAACAATTAGCTTACCAACTACCTCCACTGACAGTAGACAATCCATGTGGTACCAACACATGAAATGTTCTCGAGCTCTATTTGGATATTGTGAAGCTTGAGTGACTATAGTCAGAGGGTGTATTATGTGGGAAAATGACTGGCGATTCTGTGGACAGGTAACTGGGGGTACAATTAGAGAAAACTGAGAACTTAGTATAGAAATTATAGGGTGGGTGTTACAGTATTCCTTAATGTGGTGTCTGTGTCTGTAACCCTACCCACTGGCAAAACACAGAGTCAGGACTGCAGAGCTGGGTCATGTGCTGCCTCTTCCCCTCACAGGGAGGTCCCCTGGCTGGATGGGAGTGCTGGTGGCCCAGGAGTGGTTTCTGCCCTCCTGCAGTCCCACAGAGGGGCAGTGACACCAGCACAGCCCTCTGGCCATGAAAATTGCTTTCCTGGTGCACAGGAGGCTCCACGTGATGGTGCAGTTGTAGTCATCCCATCTGTCACGTGGCTGTGTTCACCAGCTCCTCCCTACTTTCCAAGTGCCAGACTTGTAGGTGGCAGCCATGGCTGGAGCTCTGCAGGAACGCTTAGTGCAACTTGTTCTGGTACTCATGGCACTGCCAGCAAACTGGTACTGCCCTGACCATGCTGTTTGGTACAAATATCTTGTTCAAGTGTCTGTGAGATGTCCTCAGTGTAGGTGTACTTGTGTCCAACCTCCTGCCTTTCTATAATTTTAAAGCAATTTTTTTTTAATCTATTAAATTAAATGTTTTTAAGTGCTTTTTTCTGTTGGTCTTGCTGCATCTCCTGTTAATGGCCTGTGGTCATGGACCTCTCAGCAGGACCCTACATGCTGCTGCCAGACCAGTGCCAGTGCAGAACAGTGTTTGGTCCCAGCCACCTGTGCTGGGTGACATCCCTGCGCAAAACCTGCCAGTTGAAGCCACCAGTCCTCACTGTCCTCCCCGGGACAGTGAACTTGTGAGCCAGGAGCTGTGAAGCAGTGCTTCAAACCAGCTCCAGGCAGTGCTGATGGTACCTGGAAGGGCAGGGAAGCTGCCTGTCATGGTCCTGCCTTTCAGGCCCTGTGCAGAGAAGGATTGTGTCACCAAGTTCTGGAACAGTGGATACAGTAAAGGACTTGGAAATGACACCTCCTGGAGGCGCCAGCAATGGCCTGCAGAGGAAGCCTGACCAGAAGCTGGGCTGCATCCATGAGAGAAGATGATTTTCCAGATTTTGGTCTGGTCTAATCAGACCTGACATAAGTATCCAAAAAAACCTCTAATTTAAGGCAGATGGACTGTGCTTGGTTTTGGCATCTCTCACTCTTTATTGGCAGTGGCGCAGGGTCACTGCACAGTCGGCAGCAAGGTACCCACACCATCAGCTCTGCTTGGCCCATGGGCTGGAGCTGGGAGGTCTGCCCCAGTTTTACTGCTGTCCCTGCAGTAAAAGGGGCTGTGGCTCCTGCTCTGGCCCCAGGACAGGCATTCATTGCCCCGGTGTCCCAGGCTGGGGTGTCCTGCCAGAGCCTCAGGCCCCAGCACCCAGGCACAGGTGACTCTTTGGGTGCTCCCAGCCCTCCTAGTCAGGCTGGTGCCTCAGTGTGCCATGCTGGTTTCACCACTCCACCTCGTGGGTATCTTCTGGCCAGGGGCAGCACATGGGTGCCTGCTGAGCCCTGAGCCTGCCATGTCCTTGTGCACCCATGTTGCTGCTAGTTAAGGATTAACCCTTGGAACGGCCATAAGAACACACAGCAACATGGTCCAGTCTCAAGATAGGAAAGAGGGAGAGACAAAGTTTATTGTAACACACACTCCTTAAATATACTTGAACGCTACTCCAGGGACAGAACAGCCCATTGGTCAGAGCGGGCAGCACCTCTTGCACAGATGTTTTCATTATAGACAACAGAGTTCTCAAAATACACACTCTGTTAACAGTAGCAGGTGCCTTTGTTTGTTCCTGGGAAAACCTCTACCCCCAGACCAGCTCCTGGGAAAGCTCCATGTTCTCATGAAGCCTTCCCACGGGCAACTGAGGCCTTCTACACACCCAGTTTCAGGTGCTGTTACCCACGGCTAGAGGGCAATGGGCCTGTGATATAGCTGCAGCTGTTACCCCCTGTTTTGGCACTGCTACAGCCCCCTATGCCTTTGTTTATGTCTATGTCCCCCGTACATGTGTGCACATCTGTGCCCATGTCTGTTTGTGGGTCTGTTTGTGCCCATGGGAAATCTCTGCCTGGTTACAGGCCATCTCAGCGAGCTCTGCCATCCCATCCCAGGCATCCATTGGGACTGGCAGAGTTTGAGGCATGGAGCAGGATTCTGGAATCTCTGGACAGCTCCCACCATGGCAGCTCATCAGGGAAAGCAGCTGTCCGGCAGCCAGCAGTCCATGGTGGTGTGGTGAGTAGTGAGGGTGTCACTACCACTCAGCCATGGGTACAGCAGCACAGTTTGCCCTCAGGCTCTGGGCCAGGCACCCTGTCCTTGGCTACCAGCCTGTGGAGGCTGCCCCAACTCTGCACAACCACTCTGGGGGGTCCCTGCCTCTCTCTCCATGCAGGCTAGCAGGGCTGCCAGGGATGGCACCGCATCCTCTGCTGGGCAGCACCTTTGCCTTTCCCAGGCCATGCAGGTGTTACTGCACATTTCAGCACATCAGTTGGTAGGTGAATGTCTGGGTGGGTGAACAACAGCCAGCCAGAGCCTCAGTGTGTGTTGTCTACACAAACCATCTGTTCCCCCTGTTGTACCCGGTGCCCCAGCAGCCTGCTCCAACAGCAGCCCAGGCTCCATCCTGCAGAGACGCTGGGAGAGAAGTGTGTTCCTGGTGAAGCCTGTCAGGTGCTAGGATGGGTTTCCTCTCCTGTACCAGTCTGGAAGGGGCCATTTTGTGGTTTGAGAAAATCAGCAAAAAGCAGAGCCTTGCTTTGCTGTTGAGGGGCCTGTGATAATCCACCGCTTAGGGGAAGGAAGCAACCAGCCCCAACACAGCTGCATGCAGTTTGCCCTGACAGTTGGAGCATTTCCTCCCCAGGCTTGATTTGTGATTTCCTTATTGTCATTCTGCCCTGGATTGAAAGGGAAGCTGGAGGGCTGTTGAGTCCCCCTGTGTCTGGCCCAAGCCATGCTGAGCAGGCAGGTGGTTGGGGTGGCATTGCAGTGAAGGCCTGGCTATGGCCACTGGCTGTGGCCACTGGGGTCATGCCAGGGATGCAGTGCTGGTGGGTTGGGGTGTTGGGGGTGCAGAGAGTGGGTGACAGCCTCCCTCCCCATCTGGCTCTACCACAATCCCATGACATTGATAACTTCATATCCAGCTGGTTTTGGGGGACGTGGGGTTTTCCCGGTGGACCCTTCGGAGCAGCTCTCTAGACACCAGATACTTGCCACCTCCAGGGGGGCTGCCAAGAGGCAGCCATGAGGGT